CGTTGCCGTCGCCGTTGCTAAAACTCCCTACTGACATTTCGCGAACGGAGAGTTTTCGCGCATGCGTACTAGTACCAAATCTAAGTCAGATGTCTTTTTCCGACATTTCTTAGTTTTTGCACGCGAGTATTTCAAAATTACTTAAACCTGCTACAGATCAGACTTGCATTTACTTTGATGAATAGTCTTTGTGTGTTTCAAAGGTGTGCTCTTTTGGTTTAATTTAACGACGAAAGTAGCCGGGGGCGATGCTCTGAGTAGCTGGGGGAAATCCCCGGCCCCCGGCCCTTAGTGACAACCCTGTGTAAACTGCGGATTATCCGCAGCATTACTTTGGTCAGCTTCCAAAGTTATCACCATTTCTTGCATTGATCAAAATTATCTTACGGTAATCAAACTATGGTAATAAAACTTACAATAATCAAACTACTTATATGGTAAAGTTACCACTGACTAAAAACATCTGTAAGGCCATGTTAGGGTAAAATTCCAACATGCAACATATGGCTTGAAACAGCAACATAAGGCTGAAACAGATGCAATTTTTTTTCAACGGATGAGCAAACCCTTTAAACATTTTCGCTAAAGCGTTAAACAGGTGCCACTTTTTTTAAATGGATAAGCACACCGTTTAAACGCTTGCATGAACCTATTAAACAGATTTAAACGGATAGTAAACGGTTTCCCCGTTTAAACGGAAAAGCGTTAGTGTCCGTTTTCCCAAAGAGGGTCACATATGGTGACAAACAATATAAAGATGGGTTAAATACTGACAGAGAAATGAACTACTCCTCAAAACACGAAATGGCTGTATTTGGAATTTCAGACTATGGATATACACCCCCCCCTCCCCCCTCCCTCCCTAAAAAGATCTCATCTGTGGAAAATCAGGATCAGACTACTGGGATGGTGGGTGTCTAGGTCACTGGGATGCCGCATCACTGGCAGTTTCTTGTATGGTAAACAAGGCCCCAAAAATCAGGTTCAGTTAAGCACAAGAGCTTTGAATGAATGATCAAGAGCAAGGAAATCCATATGTTAAGTTCTCAACTGTAGTATAATAGTTCTATTTCCTACTGCCTTGGTTGGTCTCAGTGGTGGCCAACAAGTACAACATCCCAGTTACCAAATTTCAATTCAGTCACTAGGGATTCCAGAGTTTTAAATTTCCTAGGCAGGCTTAGCTTCCTAAGGAGCAGTTTCTCAGAAATATACGCCATTACACCTCCGCCTCCTTCAACTTTCCTTCCTTTGATTCATCAGCAAGTGAACCTCTTGACTTCAACTTTATTTTGAAAACTACATGTACCGGTATTAACATTTAGATGAATTAGGAGTATCTCTCTAGCATTTTTTGATCTGTTCAATGGATTATTATGTAGTTGTTGATCATTGGTTCTTCATTTGAAAGATCCATCTTCATTAAAAAACAAATCCCTAAAGGGCCGAGTACTGAGTTTGCGCAACAGGACACAGGCGGCCCAAACTCATTACATGAACGCGGACGTGACTCTTGCTTGCGAGCGGTGTTGTGTTACAAACGGTTATTTACAAAGGCTTGTATGGGATCTATCGGTTTTTCTTTAAAGAGATAAAAAATGTTATGTTTTTAAATAAAATCGACGTACCTTATTGCCTTGTTGTATTCTTTGTTGTTTGCCCACGTCTTAGGCCGTTTTGAAGCGTTTTCGGCGAGTTAGCGCTATTTTGGTGTTCCACTGCTAAAATAAAGACAAGGCAGAACAGTGATTCCCGAAGTGTCTGTCGCTCGAGGCGAATAATTCCACTGGAAAATTACCCCCGGCCTCAATTCCTTCAAAAATTCAAAGCAGAGATGTTGCAGTTCCATGTCCATTGACTCGATTCGCAATTCCTTCCACAGATCGTTCACTAGCGATGCTTTCATCTCTTGTTCGATCGGCTTCACGATTTCAAAATAGGCTCGTCCAAACTGCCGTGGACCCGTTCACCGATCACATAGTATGTCGGGTAACTAAAATAAGCCCGGCAAGGGTAGACAGCGGCCCATAGTCAACAAACAAACAAACCCGTCAGCCCCGCTGGCTACCCGCATTGGGCTTATTTTAGTTACCCGACATACTATGCGATCGGTGAACGGGTCCACGGCAGTTTGGACGAGCCTATTTTGAAATCACTGTTCACTGAATCACTGTTCTGCCTTGTCTTTATTTTAGCAGTGGAACACCAAAATAGCGCTAACTCGCCGAAAACGCTTCAAAACGGCCTAAGACGTGGGCAAACAACAAAGAATACAACAAGGCAATAAGGTACGTCGATTTTATTTAAAAACATAACATTTTTTATCTCTTTAAAGAAAAACCGATAGATCCCATACAAGCCTTTGTAAATAACCGTTTGTAACACAACACCGCTCGCAAGCAAGAGTCACGTCCGCGTTCATGTAATGAGTTTGGGCCGCCTGTGAACAGGACAGCAGGACCAGATGAGGACAGCAAAATGCTCATGTGTGACAAATGTGGCAGGGTTATTACTTACGTGTTTTGTCGTGATCTTTACTTAACAGTAATGTTTTCTGGTCTTTTACAAAAAGATCTGTTCAAAGGAAAGCGACGCTTGGCGAAAAGTTATTTCAAACAAAATTACAGTCACGTTTGTCACACAAGGTTTGCCGTTTTCTTCCCTCTACCGTCCTGTTGCGTAAGATCGACAGTGAAAGCGATATTTTTACCACTCCATGGTCGAATTCCCGAGCTGTGCAAACCACGTTCTTATTTCTCCATCTGGTCTTTGTCGTAAATAATTAATATAGCTAAATAAGTTGTAAAAGAACGAGAGTTATGGCAGCACTTCATCGTGTGACCTCTCTGTGCCTTCACAACTTGACCGGGTGCTGAATCAAAACAAATTAAAATTTCACGTTGATCATTCTGGGGGTTCGTGTTTTTGACGAACAAAATTGAATTTGGAAGTATATAGCTTACATATTTTGCAACAAAAGATATTTTAGGCTACACATCATTGTTCTGACTAAAACTGAAGGACAAAGGGAAGGTAGCACTTACCTACAATGTAGCTTTTATGACCCCCACCCTCAAAACTATCCCCTACTTTTAACACCTTCGTTCGAAATACACTTACCTTGTACTAGAGCTTTTCTGTCGCCATGACGTGCAAGAAAGAACAGGGCATCTTTTAAGACATGCTTCTGCGGCATGGCTTCGAGAAATACCGCGTAGAGCACTGCCAACTCGAAGTAGAGACGCCATGATTTATGCAGCCGCGAGTACGAAGCATCGATCACCAGTCAGAAAACACATAAAGCATGCAACTGACCAATGACAAGTCGACTTTCTAGCGGCGCGAGACTTGTAAAACGCGCTAAACACGATGTGGAACAAAGTGGAACAGGAAAAACACGAATTGATCCCAGGCTCCGATGTTTCGACTCCGCCCCTGATTTTGTATAATCGTCAACAAGGGCAACGAAATTCTTCTTTCCTGTAGATATTTATGCAATTTTTAAGCCTGCGAACAGCAGAAGTATTTCCGGTCGTCGCTTCTCTCTCTCCGAAGTCGGAAGGAGAGAAGCGACGACCGGAAATACGTCTGCTGTTCGCTGGCTAGCGGTTCATGAGCGTGATACAAAATTTTGCTAAGTCCTCTCGGCTTCCGCCTAATCCCCCACCCCTGGGTCACACTTTAAATCCCTCGCGTTACACAGCTTTTTTGCCCTTTCTCGGACCATCCAAGGTGGAAGAAAACTTTCGTCACGCCTATTCTATCCCGACTAGACTGACAAAGCTCAAACCAGCCTTTTTTTTAGACGAAGGAGATCTGGGTACAAGATTATCGAGGAGTGGCAGGGAAAGAACCTGACTTTTTGCGCACTTTCGCCTGCCTCAACCCCTCATCTTCAAATATGATGCACGTCCCTTAAAATGCATCTCTAAGCCCTAATGTGGTAAACTAAAATAACAGTTGACGTTTATAACTGGTTAGTTTTCTTTTTTTTTTTTTCGATTTAAAGTTACAGTTTAATTCAAAAACATGCATATGTATTACTTTACGAAGAAAGTTTGCCCCGTAAATATTACATTACCTCTAGATAAATCCAATTTATTTTAAACTAAATTCTTGCATCAAATTTGTTTTTCCAGCATACAATCAGTACTTTGGCGTAAATCTTATTTATAAACGATGGCACTCAGAAAACACATACTAATTAGTTTGTAAGTAGATAAATTAACAACGGCATTCTTAAGACTTCACCTCAGTGAAAACGGTTTTGAGACATGTTGACAGCAACGGTTAATTATAAGAGCTTAATATACCGTCTAGTGCAGGCTGTATCAATCTCGTAAAAGAGTGGCTGTTTCCCTTGACCAGCGGTCGGAAAACGAAGTGCCCTTTGAAACTACAGGGGACTTTCTGTTAAATTGCGCACACTTGCATGGCCAGGAACCGATAATAAGCTCCTGGCATGGCCTCGCAGTAAGAACAAACACTATGGGGAAAATGTATGGGTAGATAGTTTAGGAACAAAGTTGCGCACAAGTGCAAAGTACTTCAAGCTGTCCTCAAGGGGCCAGGTTTCTCGGGCAAGTATCCCACGAGGTTTAGGAAGCCTCGTTCACGGGTCCGCCCGCTCGTCCTAGGTAGAGAAGAACTGAGTTGAAACTGGAAATGGGTGACGTCTCACGATAGGAGTTGCCATGCCAGCCGTAAACCCTAAGTATGAATGCTATTGGCTATCCAGCCTGGTAAAAGGTATGGATACGGCAAGTGACCTTCTCTGAATCTCTGTAAGTTTCTTGCTTGAATAGCCGACTTAACGTATCCATGTAAGTAGCTGTAGTATTTCCTCACAACGTTTCTTCCTTTCTTGTCCTGCAGACGATCCGCGTAATCGAAAAGAGAGTCGTAATGCAAGGAAGCCAAGCTCATAGATAGAGCAGCTTGAGCCTGGAAAAAAGGTTTTAAAAAAAATCGATGAAAGGAATTTTTCTAAAGCATTTCAAGTTCTTGCTTTAGATGCGCTGTCTCCTCGAAAAGTCTGCGATTCTCTGTGCCATTTTTGCTGATTTCGGAAAAAAATAGTTTTCATAGGGTATGAATTTAGCGCCGGCGTTTTTGCTCTTTGGTTTTCTCTTTCAAAAGCTAGCTGTCTCTTACTTCTCGGTGCTTAGCAGTCTATCGCAAAATCATGGCAAAAGTTAAATGTTTCTCGTAGAAGATATTTTGAGAGCTGGTGCGCAATTCGGTTCATCATTGCAAGGATGGAATGGAATAACTATACAATAGTTTCCCTCGTTATATCTTGAGACCGTTCGCTTTTGAAATAAATTGCCCCAATCGGACCCTGTGTATTGCCTACGCTGTGCTGCGCAAAAAATCGTCGTTGCGAATCGTCCCGTGTAACATCACCTTAAAGATTTCTCTTAGCTGTTACGTTGTTGGTAATTCTGTATTAGGTTCTAGGGCCTGCTTAGATGGAGGTGGTGGGGCCTAGAGAGGTGAGGTAACATGTGGCGGGTCACCCCAGCTATCATGTAAACGTGATCAAATTAAAATGAGAGATTATATGGACAGGCGGGTTGCCCCACCTAAGGGGGTTACCTCATCTACCTGGGGTCCCCCACCTCCCTGCCGAAAGAGGTCCTTAGGCTACTAAGGTAAAGCCGGGTAGCATTGTGTAACAAAAGGTGGCAATTTTCGTGATGCACGCTGCGCGCTTTCCAGTCTCTTCGCACTTACCAGCGGAAACGCATAACAAAGATGAACGCCCGCTATGTTGCATGTACCACACCTACCCCGCATGTAAAACCTCGTGGTAGATTGTAGACACCATAGTGTTCAGATCCTACTCTGGGATCGTTGTAGAGCTTGGTTGGCATGTTCGGTGTCAGCGCTGCCATGTGGTCATTTGGGTAATTCACTACACTGTGTTGAGCGCTCAACAGCCAAATGAGTCTTGTCAAGTGTTTCTTAAGTATCCATTTGGACGTGATCTTCGTTGGGAAGTTTCTAACCTGACAATAACAAGTCCATACGATTGAATCAGGGATCATTGCATAAATCTGTTAATTTTTACATCCTTTTTAACCAAAATAAAAACAAAACAAAATTGAAACTGCGGGAACAGGTCACTTGCTGACAAACAAAATTCCACACGTAAGAGAAACAGTTTTTAAGTTTCAAGTTTGACGTTGTGTAGGTAAATCTTTATAAAGTTATAACTAGAATCGACTTGTTTAATTATCTGAGGGAAAAGAGTTAAATAAAAAATACGTATATAGCATTACTTAGTAACGCTCCACAAAACAAAACAATTTTCAAACCACACAGTCGGTCCAACTCTCACCATTCCGGATCCAAGGGAAACGTCATGAGCAAAGTCTTGCAGCTCCAAGTCTTGTTGAACTTCTTTATGCGACTTATAGTACCTTGTATTTAACAAATACCAAAAGCGGTTTTAAATTATGAACGTCTTTGACGCGAATTTTTCTTGGTGGCAGCGCAAATCTTGCCTAATCCCCTGTACAGCGTTTCCTTAGGCGTTCCCGGTCAATTCACTTCGGTGACGTGTCCAAAGCAAACGGGCGGGAAACGGCCTCACTTCGTCGCACGGATCATGTGACCCGAAACGCTTTGGCAGAGCAGAATAATGAGACCAAGGGACTAGGCAAGAGTAAATCAGTCTTATTGCTTGCTGTAAATCTCCAGAGAAAGCTAGAATTGTGGGAATAGAATTTAAGGCCAACGCTTAAGAGGCAAACAAAGGTTTTAAGCAAACTTGGAGAAGTAAACGTATTAGTACCGCCCTGAAAAATACCGACTACTTTTCGTTCGATTAAGTTAGAACTAAAAGACAAGAAAATTATTACTTATTTTCATGCCCTGGGGATTTTTTTCCCTGCCATTTGTATTTAATTTAGGGAAAATTAAGCGCGTGCATATTTCCCCCCTAGGCATTGCCACCCCTTTAACATAAATTCTTTCGAGTCTAATGGGACACTTGAATGTATACTTGCTGAAATACGATTGAAACTTAGTAATAGAATAGAGATTCGATTTTTGAAGTAGTTACGCGTAGTTACTCTAGGTAAAGAATATTTACTCACTGGTCGACAAATTCATTAACCATGTTGGATATTGTATCATGAATTAGCTGTCCATCGTCTCTGTACGGAAAATAAGGCAGCTTTTCCTTGTCATCAAGCCCTCGGTTCTTAAAAAACGAGACGATGCAAGTTAGAGGGGTGGTGACAAGGCCGGGGACAGGGCGGGTCAATCTATTGGCATTATGGCTCAAGCATTAACACCCTTACCAGGGGCCTTGGCTTACATGATACCATTCTAAAATAGTACAGACGATAGACTATTTTTATAGTTATTTTACTAGCGATGAAGAAGTTGTGGTCGTATGTTTTCTTTCTTTCTTTTATTTGTTTACACGGAGGCTGATAAAGCCTTAGGTGAAACCTGAATTGCAGTCAAATGCTCTACCGATGAGCTATCGTCAATTTTAAATAGGAACTTATCTCTCGCTGATGTTCTAACTAACTGTAAATGAAAGGCCCCATCCATCCCTTTTTCAGTCTGGGATTCCTCTCCTCTTCAGGGAATTACGAGGACGTCAAAGATCTGAATGAAATTATCATGTTTCCACTTGGGCTCGTTCCAGTCGTTCAGCGTTCAATAGTGGCATTAATCACAGTACCGACCTTTATATTTGCCAAGAAATCCGTGTCGTCCCAAGTCACTTCCTGGGAAGCTCTGAACATCATCTGCACTGCTCCTTGGCTTCCAATTGTCAGCAGTTTATCCATAGAGCCGTTGCCCGGACTCATAAGAAATGGATATCCAAATTTGTTAGACCCAATAAGGCCCCTACAGTGGTACTTCATCATTTCGTGTACCGGGTGCAGTGTTGATAGGCGCCTATGTAGACATACACATATGGGCTCCAAGAAAAGATGGAGCTTAAAAAGGTGTTCAATCACCTCCGCGTGGGCAAAGTCTGCTACTTGAAAAATGTGTTTGGCTTTAAGCCAGAGTTCGCTGTCCTCTGGAGTAAACACTGGGGAATCTAAAGCAAATGAATATGCATTTTACACTGGGATACGAAAACTAAAAACTAGCGGAATGTCGCTAGCCTCCCGGCGGCAGAGGTTCTTTTGGATCGTCACGCATTTTATCCTCCCCAAAGGACTGAACGCGTGACGAACTCTTGTGAACATTGTGTAAACATTATTCCTAATCATAGAGTATGAAGAACAAAGAAAAGAAATTGGACTTCGTCTTCTATTAGATTTGATCCACAAAGAGGGCAATGCACCTATTATCTAAGGTAATTTGATTGTATATCTATCTCAGTTTCTATCATTTGTTTGTGATTGCTTATTCTTAGTTCTCCCGGCTGTTCCTCTTGTTAAGGGGCTAGAAGTAATTAGACAGTGTTATGATCGGTTTAAAAAGATCTGTAAAATTCTAGTTTTGAGAATGTTGAAGAGTGTTTTGCCAATATGATATATATATTCGTGTTTCATTGAACCTGTATAGTCTTTTACTATAGCGGTATCTAATAAACCAGGATCAAAGTCATGTAGGTTAAAAATTCTGACATATTCATTAAGTGAGAGTCAAAGCTATTTTTGCGTTCAGTGCATTAAACAAATGACATTAAAAAAAACTGTTTGACGAAAGATTCTTCATCTTTAGACTGAATATACAAAATGTAGTTGAGGATTAAATGATTTATTAGTGATATTTAAAGGAAAACGACCAAGTTCAGCTCTATATAAGTTGTATTAGAAGCCTTTTTGTTTACTTCTTAGTAAAGTTTCCAAAACTGAACATGAGTCTTTTCGATTTGTGAGCCGTCCCAGGTCTTAAAATCTGGTTTGACATACATACCCCAAATTTCACTGTTATATGGTAGAATAGCGAAGATCATAGTATCAGCAACAACAACAATTTATTAAGGTATTAAACGTTCCATTACAAAAAGTATCAAATACTTTACAGGCCACAACAAACGAACTAGAACGAGGAGTATGGCCTGAGGACAAGGAAGATACCCTATAGATTAATTATAACTCACCCGAGGAACTGTTAATTTGAATGGCAACCGGTTTAAGCTTGTTCTCTTGCCGTCCAGGCTTGGATGCAAAAATGGCTATAGGCGAGAAGGCGTTCATTAAGGAACCAAACGGGTCTCTGCTCATTGCTGTTAGTCCGTCATACAAAGGATATTGAACAGAATACAGGTAACCCTGGTATATTGCCTGTTGTAAAATTATGCAATTAATAAAATCCAATGATCGGCCGTCATATTTGTGATCAAACAAGAAACAGAAATATTGGTGCAATTTGTTTCACTGATTGACCCAGGAAAATATTGGTATGATCGATTGATCGTTATACTCCGCAATAAGGATACGTGGAAAAAAGAAAAAGAAAAATTCCAGATCATCGGTGGAAATTAATAAATTAGATGAAAGTAGTACTCTAACGGTCCAAAAATTTGTTATCGAAGAGTTTTGTCACAAATTCCAAAGCGAATTCTCATTCCGGAAATGAATACGATCAATAAAATGTACCTTTATTTAACAGCAACGACAGCAGTCACAGAGCAACAACCGACATTAGTGTAAGGACAGCTTTTGATGGCGTTCAGGATTGATTTTTTATTTTAATTTATTCCCAGTTACTTAATCACCACCGCATGTGTGATTCCGCCAGGGTATGCATCTGTTTTCCTTGTCACAAAAGGTGTGATCTTAAATCTAGTTTCAAGACTTCAGTTGTTCCAAGACGAACCTGATCGAGAGAAATCTTGATCCCCAGCACATCTTGGACCGCTCCTTCCAAGTCAAATTTCGGGTTTAGTTTCTTACTGAGCAAGGTCCAGTCCACGCCTCCATTGATTTCTGAAAAAGTCAAACGGAAAATGAATTAAATGAGGAGTTCAAAATTTAAAGTTGCTTTTATTGCGCTACAATGGCCAACGACTCTACTCCTGTAGCGAGCTTGAGCAACGAGAAAGTTGCAAAACGTTGCGTCACGGACGTCGGAAATTACTACCGGAAGCTAACTGATATTTTTTCCCCCAGTGCTTTGACGCCGTAGCGTCGCACAAGAAGCAGGAATTCAAACATAAACGTTCAAACCCCATTAATGTGTCAGACAAAAGCGTTATATCAATCGAAACACCCAGCTTCGTTCCCAAGGTTCCCTACTACTAGTTCCCAGGATTAAGAGACGGGACGAGTAACAGTTAATCCTGGGCAAGGAGCGGTTTGGAAACACCATCGTAAGCTTCCGACTGTAGAACCTTTGGTAGCGCGATAAAAAACCTTTGATCTAACAAACTGAAGAAAATACCCATAAACAAAATGATTTAAGATAAGCACCCTTAAATGTTATTAAACTACAACTAAACACTCGAAGTTCCAAAAAAATTGTTCTTGTTCTTGCTCAGAAAAGGCTAAGCCAGGATATTTACTAAATACCTGGATCCCAAGAAATCCTTTTAATAGACATCGGATTAAGACCAGCTAACCGCTGATCAGTAAACAAGGTATCATCTCTCCAGAGAGCCAATTCAGATAGATTCCTAAAAGGAATGCTGGCATCTTGAAAATGAAATCGAAAATACTTGGTGTCACTCTACAAAAAAAGAGGGCATAAGTGAGAGGTACAGTTAATTAAAAAAATTACGACGGAACGCCGTTAACAATCACAGTCCGACAACAGATAGCAAGTAATTATCTATCTTTTCGCTTGGGTAGCAAAGAGGAGATTATAACTGGCGAAACGGACCATGCCTGGGGAACGTTTCTCGAAAGGCTCGGTGACTTTTGTTTTGTATCGTTTTCAAAATTATTGAAACTTTGATCTTGAATACCAACGTGACAAAAAAAAAAAAAAAACAGTTTTCCGGGCCCGAGACGTTACAGGGAATTTCGAGAAAAGGGCGCCAGGCTTGTGTTAGGTCCATCCGGTAGACCTCTTTCCTTTGCTTCAATATTTTTATGTGCTTCATCAGGAGGGTTTAACCTTTTAAGCCCCAAGATCCACATACAAAATCTCCAGACTAATCTCCATACATTTCTTTTAAGAATAGTTGAGAGAATTTGATTTAAGATCAAAGTGTTCCCCCTTTGATAATCAATTTAGTAATTCTCATAACCTTTACTCTTGATGATCTGCTGATGTTGTTAGGAGAAAATTGATGTTGGTCACTCTTGGGACCTAAAGGGTTTCAAGAGAGAATAATGGGACGAAGACAGACACGCCCAGTCTAGCCCTTGGGATGTGCGAATTTCACCAAGTTATTTTCATACCAATTTAACGCTTGAATTAATCGGAAAAATAGTTTCCGGAGAGGTCCGCATAATTTTATTTATCATTATTTAGTGTTGTTAAGAGAGAATCCGACAGTCGACATTACAATATTCTACCTTTCTTGCTTTGAGGCAGTCGCTCATGGACTTGATGTCGTTTCAAACAATCGATTAAAATTTTCGGACGACCCAGGAGTTAAAGTTCTGTTAAATTACAACCTCTAAAAATAACTTAAGTGAAATTCACATATCCCGGCCAACTCCCTAAGATTCCCTCTCTGTGTCCTGTCCCATAATTCTCTCGTGGAGTTTTAAAACACATGCAAATCAATCATTTTACTGCGTGGGGTGTAGTTATTCAAAAACGATCAAATCACAGGTATAATCTGCATAGAAAACATATGATTACCATGAGGTCTCAGACAGTGCCTTTTTGGAGCCCTTTTTATTTTTCATGTGGGAGGAAGAAAGAAGAACCTTAGGGACAGGATTGGCGAGCGACTTAACTGCTAAAACTTTCTGACGTCAAACGATTCAAAATGGCAGACCACAAAAAATAAATGATTGCTTCTCTCTGACACTGAACCATACATTGTCATACGGCTTCTGCAATTTTTCAGAAAAGGAAGAACTCACCGAAGCTGAATTCTTATTTAGAAGGAGAATTTATATCATTTTCTTTGTACTGTAAATTACGTTTTCCGTAGACTACGGACAGTCTCTCTTTTTTTCTTCGCCCGTCGAGCGAAACGCGCGAGACACAAAGTGCCACGAGTGTGACTGAAGGCGCGAGAGAGAGGAGGCCCCCTCGCGCACACATGCACTGCCCCCACTAATTCTGAAGAAAAAGAGAGATTGCTTGAAGTCTACGTTTTCCGACACCTACCGGCTTTACAGTCACGAGTTGATGTTGTATAAAGAAGTGGTACGCTCTGATGTAGTCTCCAGCGTCTTGAAACTCTCCGTTCGTTATTCCTTGGTAGAAGAGTTGAAAGAGGCCTAAATTTTTGTAGATAGTTGAATTAATATATAACCAAATCCAGTGTTGTTCCAAGGAGTCTTTCAATAGAATTCTCAGGGCTTCTTCACTGGTTCTGTTTAAGGAGGGAAGATTAAAATAAAGATCTGGATCACCAAGTTCATAGTCCTTTCTGGATTGCGCTGTTTCCCGTTGTCTTTGTATTCGACAAGCTTTTGAGGCTTTGTCGGACGATTCGATCCCGCATACTATCACAGAAAAAGAAGAAAAGGGACCAGAAAAATTAATAAAATGTAGCCTTAAACGTTAAATTCGATCTAAAGGCGTATATCTATTTGAAAAAAAGCACAGTTTATCTTATGGATTATTTTCAAGTATAAGGGGACTTACAAAACATCACAGGTGCGTTGACTGAGTAATTGATTATTTATTTACTTATATATTATCGAGTTGTGTCAAGCCTAATAAAATACACCTTTTTTCCAAGTTTGAAAACATTTAAGGACGCGTCAGTTCAGAGAAACCTTATCGTAAATCATCCATTACATGCCCCTGACCCCCCTTCTCAGGGGAAGAAAATTATGAAGCCTTCCCTCTCTTTAAAGCTCCTCCTCCCACTTATTCTTAAATGACAGATTTTATTACTCAGCCACGACCCTATGTAACACTTTATCTATACTGATTCGGTTTATTCATGTGCTGCAAGTTCGGGCTCCTAGTTCGGATCTGTTGTCGAATGACCTCCAACTTCACCTGCCTGTATTTTTCCACTATGCGTTCTAGTTATTTTTTTTCATCAGAGCGGAGGTGATGAAAAATGCTGGAAACTCATAACCGTTGCCATCCAGCTAACATCTCCCCTCCAAGGGTCACTTCTCTGAAAAAGCGATGTACATTTTTCTCTCCCAGAGAAGTGATTTCAGTATGGTCAAAGTTTGCATTAAAGATTCAAATCGTGCAGCTTTACCAAGAGTCAAGCAATATTAAACAAAACAAGTTCTTATCAAAGGAGTAAAATCTGCCGATTTTCAAGGAATATTTCCGATTCTAATTCGGCAAAGTTGGCTTCGAGAAGAAGGAAAAACTTGCGCAACACTCAAGAATGCTGTTGTATCGTCAAAAAAAGAGGCAACTTCTTTTTTTGATCTTGTTATTCAGTCTCTAGGCATCGAGTTATTTTTCCTTAATATAAAATTAACTTACAGGGCACTTGTCTGATAGAGTAGACATTCACAGCATTTCTTGCGCCCATGCCATTTTTGCAGGTGAGAGATGTTCCATAATTCAGGTAGGCTTCAGATAGCTTATTTCCTCCCCTACAAAGACCGCCTTTCAATAGAGCAAACTCCTTAAAATTCCGTTTCCATGCCCTTCGTGCGCAGGCGTCGAATGGATTCGAGGAACTCTGAAAATTTCCCAAGTAATTACCAGCCTTTCCTCCGGCAACGAAACAGCCCTCGTCTGCATAGGTGTATTGCTTTGCATTTGATACTAAAGGAAAAAGTTCGCACTAATTTCAAAGGCATGTAGGTACACTTTATTCTGTCATAATGCACCTATCAATGTAAATCCCGTGGGGGGGAGTGCGGGCAAGGGGAGGGGATTTGATGCCTGAGACTATCCCCCTGTCGGGCTTTTGATCGTGCGAAGCGACCCCGGGGTCGGGACATTTGACTTTGACCGATAGAAGCCTGGTATCAATTCAGATGCGGTTACCAAGTCCGTCCCTCGAGGCTTTCTGAAAGTCACACTGTTGGAGAATGGTATGAAGTTTTCATTTGTTTTAATCGCCATAATCCGATACTTTACACTGTCATCTAAACAGATAATGTCTATTTTAAGAAAGAGTTTATCTTCAAGTTCCCATCTGATTGTAAACCTCGATTGAAATCGAATTTTACCATGAAAGTCAGAGGATTTTTTAACAGGTCACTGATCCGACCTATTCCAACATGTTGAGCAGATGTTATAAAGCATTTTACGTTTCATTAATATAATAGCACGGTCAATCTTCCTGGAGCGATTATGTTGTTCAAAATAAGAGATGCTAGTGGAGAGAGAAAATACTTAATTACAGCGAGTAATTTAACGGAACTTACGTTTAACCTTAAATAAAAGTAGTAAGAACGTACTTTCGAAATGATCTTTTATTCGTTTTATATAGTATTATAGTATTGTTTGTTTAGATTTTTCCCCT